ATCCCTAATGAAGATATGCAGAATTGTTGCCAAGAGGGACCCCACTAATATCGGGGCCACAGCCTAAGATACCCCAGATTATCCATCTCCTCTGACGAAGCTCATTGCCTGCAAATCCCCCCCCCCATGGATTTTCTTTCTTGCCTAGGTTCCAAATGAGAGAGAACTAAAATGTTAGGCGCCGTCCGGCCGAGGGTGGGGGGCAACTGCCCGTTCGCTGCTTCCTAATTCACGAATCTATTCCTGGTAAAACCTGTGATTATTTGTGAAGCTGGAGCAAGCTCGTCGAACCACCACGGTAAAACCTATCAACTCTTATAAGCTCATGTTATGGCTCCCTAGATGGGTCCATGAGAAGTAGCAAAAATGTAGAATGCCCCTCCCTCGCCGAACTACCCCGAATGTTGTAAATTCCACTGCTAGCGTCTCCATTGTGTCAACATGATTTTTCTAACCCTTCTTGAGCCCAGTAGTAAGTTCAGGACACGTTTGGTTCAAGCACTCTGAGTAATGCTATTTTCCCGCGAGTTCGTGAAGAGCTTTTGGAAAAGCACTCAAAAGATATTGCGAGGACAGCAAAATCAGAGACTTGCTAGATGATTCACTTCAATGCAATTCAGCGCTTAAAGTGATGGGCTATTGCATACTTGTCAACAGCTCGTTGTTCAAGCGCTAATGAAGCTATTCTTGTCAACATCGTTCCAGAATCAAATCCAGAAGTTTCCTGATTTTATTACTAACGACCCCTGTAGGAGCATCCACGAGAAAACAATGACCTGTCGTGAATGGTAAACCCTACTCAAAAACTACTCGGAATCGTCAGCTGTATGTAGTCCTCCAGCTCAAGTCCTGCAGCTCAAGTTATTGAAACAGTATCGATCCCCCTTCTATCCTGGATCAGGGCGCGTCCTGGCGCTGAGTAACATTTTTGCAAAATTTGAATTTTCTCGGACTTTCTCCTCTGGTACGACCCCTTGCCTGTTCTACCCACCATCTCCCTATATTCTTCTAACGTCTTGCTAATTTTCCGCAGTTTTCTCCAGGAATCCTCCACTTTCCCCCAATAAAATTGCCGTCGGGAGGGAAGCGAGACGTTCGTGTAGCCCATTCGAAAGAGGAAAAGTAGAGAAACGTCAACAACCGAGAATATTTTTCTCGAAGGCAAATACGACCTCCAGCCACCAAATACGACTCCTCCCTCGATGAGGATTCCCAGTGTACCACGAGCCCTGTTCTGAATGCCTTCGTTATTGAACCCTTGACAAGCAACCCGATTACCTAGCTGTATACGGTTCCTGGCAGCAGAACGTCAACATTGCCTCAAGTTTAATAGCAACTGCAATCGGAATAAGTACCGAACCCAGAAATAACCCACAAGTTTGTTCTGGAGCTACCAAAGCTTCTAGCGAGTTCCGCGGCAGGTTCTTGAAGCCCTTACCTTAGCCCCTTTTCTCAAACAGCTTCAAGTCTTGTGGGTGGCACAATCTGGCACAGCTTGCTTAAGAACGCTAATGGACGCAAAGGTTACACTGGATATCCTTGCCAAGTGCAACCTCTGCCTATGCCTATGGGAGTGCGGAGCTTCCACCTCGACGAAAAAACATTGCCCTGTCACCTCTTTGCTTAAAAAAAGGTTTCAAAAGAGTGTTTTACAAGACTTCTTTTAGCGTGCCCTCCTTTTGAAAAGCAGTCGTCGGCCTGGTTTGGAGCAGCTTGAAGGGGCAATGAACGGAAGCAATCATGGCGACCCGTGATCGCTGTCCTCGTCTGCTGTAGTCACTATGCATTTCCTTTCGAACGGCCACTTCGACGTTCCATCCTTGCCTTTCGAGCTGATTCAATTCTCTCAGTACCGTACCTCTATTAGTATTTTACATTTTTCTAATTGATTTTTAAGTGCTTTGCTCAAGAAGAATAATTGTTTTCAAATGAAATAAGACCTTCTAAGAATACGGTCTGCGCTCTTTATTTTCCGTATGAATCCTCTTTACATTAGCTTCGTTACTAAGCAAACGCCCTCGCTTGAACTTCAAAGAACAAACAGAGGTGGAGAAGCGATGCATTTCAGGGTAGTTTCAGGTGTAATAGAGCACTGTTCTCCTCTCATGTTCATAGCGGGAGATTGTGCAGCTGATATCGCTACAATCCGTCGGGGCGGTGCCAGGAAGGCGTAGAGAGACCCCGCCCCCGCCTGCATTTTCTACCAATGGTGATCAGTTACAGA